TCTATGTTATTGCTATGTCATTTGACAGCTGACAGTTCTAGCTTCATTCTAAAAAAAAAATTGAGCTATTTGGTTGAGTTTTGGAGATTTTACAAGTTGAAGATGGAAGACCAAACTGCGTTTTTGCCGTATTTTACTGTTTTACTTCCATAAAGGGAAGAACATGCGTCAAGCTTGTGAAAAGTTGCATAAAGTTTACGGTGATGATGCTGTACAAGAATGTCAGTGCCAACGATGGTTCATGAAATTCTGTGCTGGTGATTTTGATCTCGACGACGCTCCTCAGTCAGAAAGGTCCACCGAGGTTGATGACGACAAAATAAAGGCATTGATTGACTCAAACCCACGTTACACAACATGAGAGATTGCAGAAACATTGGACATCCATTATTGAAGTGTTCACGACCACCTGAAGAAGCTGGGATACGTAAGCAAGCTTGGTATTTGGGTTCTCATGAACTCAAAGAAGTTCATTTGACGGTGTGTATAAACATCTGCAATATGCTCATTAAACGTGAGGAAAATGATCCTTTTTTGAAGCGACTGATAACTGGTGATGAAAAGTGGATTGTTTACAACAGTGTGGTGCGCAAATGGTCTTAGTCCTGATGTGCTGATTCGCCTCAAACAACATCAAAAGCAGACATTCATCAGAGGAAGGTTATGCTCAGTGTGGTGAGATTTTAAAGGTGTCGTGTTTTACGAGCTCCTACCCAAAGAACCAAACAATTCGAATGTGTACTGTCGGCAATTGGACAGTTTGAATGAATCCATCATCCAGAAACGTCCAGAGCTTGTTAATTGTAAAGGAGGAGTATTCCATCGTGACAACGCGAGACCACACCCAAGTTTGATCACTGTCAAAAATGATTGGAGCTTGGATGGGATGTGTTGCCACACCCACCATACTCGTCTGACCTTGTCCCGTCAGATTTCCACTTGTTTCGCTCTCTTCAAAACTCCTTGTGTGGTATAACGTTCAATTCAGATGAGGCTGTAAATCAGCACCTTGTTCAATTTTTTGCAAATAAAGACAGATCCTTCTATGAACGAGGAATTATGAAGCTCACTGAAAGATGGCAAAAGGTTATCGAACAAAATGGGCAATATATCACTGACTGATGTTTGTTCTTTATATAAATAAATGACCTTTCAAAAACATAGACAAAATACGTCATGACTTCTCCAACAACCACATGTATATATTTTAATTGGGGGACAGTGTGTTTTTCCAGGACCCATCAGTTCCAAGTCAAGTAGTAGTTTCAATCTATTGTATTGTGGAGGGTGCATCTCAGTGGCCCATGTGGGGATTGAACTGGCAACCTTGGTGTTATGAGCACTGTGCTCTAACCATTTGAGTTAACAGGCCATCCCTAAGTCAGACAGATTGTATACTTGTAATGGGTACCCCTTAGGCCACCTGGTGTGGGAATTCACTCTCCTCTGCCAAGAGGCGTTTGCTGAACAAACTCGCAGAAGCACTGCTCATTCACTTGTCCTAATTGGACCCCTTCTAATATTTGTTTCCTTGCCAGGCTGGACAGCTCTCTCTCTCGCTTATCCACCTCAGCTGGCTTCAGAGCTTCTCAGCATTCCGAACACCCTTCCCCGACACTTTGCTTTGTTAGTATCTCTTAAAAACAAGGTGTCTACAGGGCCCACCCTCCTCCAGACCCGCATGGTTATACAGCCTGAGATGTCCCACCCTTGTGGCAGCCACTTCAGAGAAATGTGTGAGTGATTCAATTTCCCGGTCCTTTTTTTGTTTTTTTCAGAATTTGTCTTTTCCTTTAATGATATATACCAGGGGTGCCAAAAAATGTATACAAGTAGACACTTTGGTCAACATTGCTCCAGCAGTAGTTCGCCATCATCAGAAGTGTCTGGACGCTGATGGGAACCACATTGAGCACCTCTTGTAATTGCGGAAGTCAAACGTGACTTGTATTCATCTTTTGTTATTGATATATATTGAGTATTACAATTTTAATACAGTTTTCCTTTCTTAGAATGTGTATACATGATTCTGGCACTCTGTATGTATGTATATATGTGTGTGTGTGTGTGTGTGTGTATTTTTTGTTTTTAAGAAAAAAAAGTAAAAAAATGACTGCAGTTGTCAATTCTCAGTGAGCTACCCATAAATGTTTGTTTCATGCAGGTTTCTTTACTCAGCATTAATGTTTTAAAAGATACTGTAGTTAGGAGGTTTATGCTTAGTCACAATAGAAGCAGCCCAGCACCTATTGTCTTCATTCATTTATTACCTGCTGGGCATTCCTCACCCCCAGTGGATGCTTTTGCTTTTTTCCCTCTGTCTACAAAGGGTCATTTTGAATCTGTGTATCTTAATTTAAAGTTTATAACTTTTCATTCGGATTTCTCATAAGCACTCTTATCAAAGAACCGGGGTCTGACCGTGACAGAAAACAGCTCATCCCTCCTCTCACCTCCCAAAAATGTTTGTTTATCTGTTTATTTATTGGCATTCACTTTAATTTTGCATGCAGAAATGGTTGAATCATTTAAATTGGGGTTTTTTTGTAAGTGGAAAATGGTTGAAAAGCAGCAATTTTTTTCTCATTTGTGGTAAAATTTAAAGACTTAAGATTTATAGAAATATTACTAGAAGCATTTTTATTGCTATAGCATTGAAATAAAAATAATTCCATTTGAGACTGAAAATTATAATAATAGAGTTCAGAATATTTTTTTTTTTAGATTTTATTGGGGAATTGGGGGAGGGGAACAGCACTGGGGAATTGGGGGAAGGGGAACAGACAAGTTGCTGTCGTTTTGTTCTTCAGTCTAGTTGTAGAGGACGTTGCTTCACTGGCCCAAGTTGGCACCATCATTGCGCTCTTCCCGGGTGAGGCAGATCAGTCGCCGGCTTCTGGACGGCTGCTCACGGTGGCTGCTGGCCACTCACGCTGGCTGCTGGCTACACACAGTAGCTTGTGGCAGCCCACTGCAGCAGGGGACTGTAGCCTATGCTGTCGCCGGTGACCCACGGCAGCCCAGCCCCAGGTCGAGTTGCCATTCACCATCTTAGCTGCGGAGGGCAGTGTCACTGGCCCTCATATGTGGGATCCGAACCGGGGCCCTCTGGCGTCCCAAGCCAGTTCTTAACCAACACGCCACTCGGCCGGCCCAAGAATATTTTAGTTAAAATCTAAAATAGTTTATTGTCATGGAGTATTTGACATATAAAAATGTCAGCAGTTTTATTGGGAAGAAATGTTATTGTTATAACTAAAATGTAAAGTAAAATAGGTACAATGGAATTAGACTTCGAAATGGAATATGAAATCTGATGTGTGATAGACAAAATACACCAGATGATTAAGGAGATGATTTTATCCAGGCTATTACAACAGGAAGATGTTCATTAATGGGAAACCTGTCTAAGAAGAAAGAGAAAATATGGGGTTTTATGAAACAAAGGAGTCCGTGAGGAAGGGAATGTGGTCCTTCCTGGTTAGCCCCTTCTGGGAACACAGAGGGGAGCCAGGCTGCTTAACCTTCTCTGCTTTCAGGGAGCAGGGGGCTCAGGTAAATTTTCTGGTTGTCAGATGGAACAAGCTTACCGAGATTTTGTTATGCTCCTAAATCATGTGGGATGCACTGCACAGTTGGAAAATGGTATTCAGAGAAAACTTAACCAAAAAAACCCAGTTTTATTCATAACTTTAAATGAAAATCTATAGGCTTCTTAATATTTACTTCTCTACCAGAAGACTAAAACAGAGCCATTTTGTCTTGTGGGGATGATCAGGGATTGTAATTCGTTAGAAGCCTGGCAGGGGGAAGAAACCAGTGTAGGGGGTGGTTTGAAGACCCCTACTTTACAAGTTAGTGGACCTTGTAAAGGTGAGACCCCAAATAAGCGACAGCTCTCAGGTCTTCTCCAGTGAGGAAGGAGGTTAAAGATGGGCGGGCCATTTCTAAATAAGTCGGGAAAGTCTGAATTTTGTTAAATGATACATTTTAAGAGGGCAATATCATGACCCCTGTACAATGACTGCCTAGCTACGATTTTATTTGACTCATTCATTAATGAAAGAACCAGGTAGATGCCATGTTGGGAGCCATTTGAGAGCAGTGAGGCTGCAAGCTGAGAAAGCGGCAGGCCTCCATGTTCCGTGTGCTGAGAAAGCTGCAGAACTCCATGTTGGGTGAGCAGCAAAAAGGGAACTGCTGGAGAGACATCTGACCCAGCAACAGCCAGCTCATCTCCTGTGCCATTGGAAAGCAGAAGTCCCCTGGAACTGAAGCCACCGGGCCCTCGGAAAAGCACCCTCCTAATATGGACTCTGATGCTTTGGGACTTTCCACCAAGGACTAGTTGACAGCTTCTATTTGCCTCAGTTTAACCTTGCTTAGAAAATATCCTTGGTCTACGCTGTGCTTCATGTAACTTGTTGCTGGAAGAATTTGTTTCTCCAGACCTCCAAAACTTTGCATAAGGGACATAGGTTCCCCATTCCCCAAAATCCCCTACCAAAATCCCCTATGCTTTAAGGGAATTGATCCCTACAAAGAGGAAATTGCTTCCTCTATATAACCTGAGTATAATCAATAAACGGTGTCACTCTCCGCCACCTGCGGCGGAGTGTCACTCCTGATCCCAGCTTTTTATCTCTGTGTCTTTTCTACTTGCTTTTCTAATGTCCCACTCAGTCCCCTCTGGGACCCTCTAGGTACCTGGCTTGCACGCGCCAGGTGGCCACTGGACGAGCGGGTCTCGACAATGCCACTATGATTTTAAAGTGAAAGTAAAAGAACCACGGATTTGGGGGGAGTCAAGAAATGTTGAAATGAGTTTCTAAATGGAAACAAGGCTGGTTTTTCCCACTCACTGAAGGAGCGCTGTCCATCCAGACAATCAATTGCATGACTATAGAAAAAATGATTTGCTTTGCTCCTGGTTACAACTTTCAGAGGTGTAAAGTAGCCGAAAGGCAAGGAAAGGACCTAGCCCCAAGGAGTCTGGTAATCCCTCCAGACTCCAGCATTCCATTGAAGGGATATTCAGTCATTTCTTTGGTTATGCCAGAGTCTTAAATTCTTCCCAGCCATGCTTGCTCTGTTGTAACTCCTGATGTCCTCCAATATTGATCTATCAATTAATTGCCGTATTCCCTGGCTCTAAATGTCCTTTCCCTTATCTCCACTCTTCCTGGGCTCCATCACATCAGAGGATCCTGGGACAACCAGATGTCTACATTTGTACCCAGCTACAAGTATAGATTACTCATGTTTGCATTGCTTTGGCTTAATAGCATCACATCGGAGGATCCTGGGACAACCAGATGTCTACATTTGTACCCAGCTACAAGTATAGATTACTCATGTTTGCATTGCTTTGGCTTAATAGCTTGTCTTTTTCTTGTGATGGCATTTAATAAAATTTTATTTAATGTTTTAAGCAATGATGACCAAGGACTTTCTATTATCATATAATTTTCAGTTGGAAATGATTCAGCAATAACCTAAATACCGTTTGATCACATAGCAATCTAACTTTAGGTTTTCAACTGTAAGTTGAAGGTGAAGGTTAATGAATTTGAATTAGCTCAGTGGTTCTCAACCTGGACGACTTTGCCTCCCAAAGGGAGTGCTGCTGGCATCCAGTGGGTAGGGACCAGGAATTCTGCCAAACTCCCTCCAATGAAAGCGACAGTTCCCCCCCACCACAAAATTATCCAGTCCCAATGTTAATAGCGCTAAGGTTGAGAAACCCTGATAGCCCATTGAAAAATGGTGGAGGAAAGCTGAAGTTTCTACTGTGATGAAACTAAAAATAATTCTACGGTCTTAAATCTGTTTGGAAAATATACACTTTGTTTTTATGGCCTTGAAATAATGTTCTTGTTACCAGTATTCCATTTTAGACCTTAAGCAATCAGTATTACCTGTAACTTGAGAGACTGAATGACAAAGTGGAAACAGATTCCTTTCCTTTGTAATATAATGTATATATAACACTTAGACTCTTTAAATCATTTTTCCTATTATAGGTTTCACTGAAGACACATCTTAGATATTCCTTGCGTTTCTAAGATTAACATTTTCCATTTGGAGCTGTCACCCTTCTTAGAAGATAGACCTTGGCAATCAAAATGAAAGATGTCTTTGAAGTTTTAGAACAGCTATACAAGAAGGTTCTTCTTGGAGCCACACTTGAAAATGACAACCAGGATTACGTCATTTATTTGAACCCAGCATTTTCCGATCAAGATGGCAGTCCAGCCACCTTCTCAGAATGCTCACACTCCTTTGGCGCCCAGGGCGAGTGTCAGCCGTCGTCTGTCAATTTGGCTACTGTTTCTGTAGCTCCTGTATGTCTGAAGAGTCGCTCTCAGATGAGCAGTGCCCGAGAAATAAAGCTTCTCCAGTTAACGGTGATCAAAGTGATGGTAACCAGAATATTGGCTGCCGAAACTGAGCTCCATGCAAAGGAGAAATACGGAGAGATCATCAAAATTCTTTTAAAATCATCTGACATCGATTCTAAATTAGTAAGCCATTTGTTTTTTGTGGGTTAGATATATAATATATATATTTTAAGGTCTAGATTTTTTAAAATGAAAGTTTTAAAGACATGTAGCAATAAGAGGGTACATTTATTTGTTTTCCGATAGATCTGTATGTTCCAAAAACCGGATAAACTGTTGGCTCACATGGCTGCAAATTGCCTCGCACTACTCCTGTATTTCCAATTAAAAGAAAAGGTAAGATAAAGAATCAAACTGTGTTATTATGTCTTTTAGAGTTTCTTTAAAATTGCTCTTTGGCATTCAGTTTTAGTTGTATCAAATATTTGTATTAATAAAATGTTGATATTTTATTGATACAAGTATTTGATTATCCATAAAATGTTTGCTGGCATGACGTGTAAGTCCATAAAAGTGTAAGCATGCAATAAAATGATAGTGACTTGTGTTAAGGATTAGAGTAAGACTTCTTAAAGATCTTGTAACTCAAATCAGACTCTTAACCCAAAGGGTGGGTTTGAAGTCAGAGAGTACATACCTTTTTTCAGAATCTCAAAAGACTAGGTAGGCCTTCTTTTCTCCAAAAAAGGGTGTAGGAACCTCTGCTTCAGAGACCATGACCATTTTTATAGGTTTAATATAAATAAACTCTAAGAACGGCCCTCAGCTTAATGAAAAAAAAAAAAAGACTAAATTGAGCATCAGAATTTTCTCTTATCTCTGAATTACTTAATAAACAAACCTAAGCATCTACTGAGTTTTAGCTATAATTGCTTATCCTTTCTGAAAATACCATTTTTTTTTCCTTAATACAAAAAGGTGGTATTTGCGGTAGAAAATTTGGAAAATGAGAAAAAGTATAAGGAACAAAATAAAAATGACACATCATTCCACCACCAAGAGATAAATAAACACTGCTACTATTTTCATGTTCCCTTTTGATCCTTTATAACAAACTGAATTTCTTGACTTAAAGAATATTAGGATATTTGTGTCCTCGTTTTAACAAACATCATACTTTAAAAAAAAAAAGCATAGTGTTGTATATATAATAGGTGATTTGTAATAGAGAAACTATATTGTATAACTTACTACTTTTTAAAAATTTCCTCACTTGTAGATAACGTTAAGTAGTTCCTGGATTGCTTTTTGCCAAAAAAATCTTTCCGAATACTCTGAAAATGATGAAGTAGTATACTGCCTCTGGACCTTTACTGTTGTAATCAAAGAAATCTTTAAAGATGCATGTTCACAAAAAACAGGTACGGATTATGTTCCCCCATCAACAATCATCATTATATTTATAACGAGGAGTAAAACTTATTTTACAACATCTGATCCGTCTTGAGGTATGAAAAGCTAGAGAATCTTGCCCCATATTTTTTTATTGAAGATACCTTTCATAAAGAAAAAGATTAAAAGTGTTTCATTGTTAGTAAAAATAAAAATTAAAGCTTCTCATTATTATATATTCCTAGCATAGTCTGATACTATTGTTACTTGTAAAATAGATGGATATTAGCTGTGTTCATTACTGGTTAGTCTGTGTGTATCTTCATTTGTTCACACTAGCGGTAAACAATGCAAATCCATGTTTTCATCTTGTAAAGGGATCATATTTATAAAAATTGAATTGTAAAAGTGTCTTAACAAGGCTTTGTTTTTCCTGTTGTTTATAATTACCATTTTTATAATTGCAGAAATTCTAAAGCAGTTCCTGACTCCTTTTGACACTGTATTTGAAGGCTTCTACAATTCCTTATTTTCTCAGCATCTCGAAAACCACCAAGATCCTTCTAAAACAGTAAACAGCTTGATCGGTGTCCTGGAATTGCTTGAACTCCTTACAGCCTCCAGAATCCACCTGGAGCTACATTGCACCTATCAGAGGATTTTTTTCTTGAAACCTGCCCATGTGCTAGGTGTTATCACCTGGCCTATTCAGGCTTTCGTGAAGAGGAAGTTCATCATATTCATCAAAAAGTGCCTTCTCTGGAAAGTGGGTGAAGACCTTTGTCGGGGATCCGTCCCTCCCTTCATGCCGCCAGATCCGCATTTGGGGGTGGACATGTTGGCTTTAGCTGATGCTGTTTTGCAAGCTGTGGACTGGGGCTTGTTGAGGATATTGCCTGTCCGTGGAAAACCTTCCTGCTTTGGAGGCAGTGAACTTCAACCTGGATGTGAGGGGGTCCCTGGTCCCGATCATGTGATCCTTAGAGCAGCGAGCTTACTTATCATTAAATCCTTAGAAATCAAGTTTCAAAATTGTGCTTCGGCAGATGAAATGCAAGGTAATTCTCCTAATTCTTTTTGTCTGCAAAGTAATGGGTAAGGACGGACTGAAGTTAAATTATTCATAATTATCCAATCTCAGGACTGTTATGCCACTCATTTAAGCTACATGTAATCCTAGTAATACTTTTTCAGATTTTCTTCAAAAAAAAGAAAATTAGAATTACCTCAAGAAACATGTCAACTTTCTGGGGGCTAAGCTGAATTTGCATAAACATAATTAATGACTGAGTTTAAAAAAATAGGTGCTGTTGAGCCACCTCAAAGTAAGTGATGTAAGTCAATATTTCATTCATATTTTCCTTCATAAAATCAGTATATTTACTAAGGTAGATTATTAATAATTAGGAATTGAATTGAAACCAATATGTGGGAAATTATATTGATGAAGTTATTGCATATAATTTCCAGGATGTTAACTCAGAGACCAAAGACAGCCATTTCAAGTATGATATTCATGTTAGGTGTTGGGAAAGACATTTCATTTGAGAAAAATGAAGAGAAAACATCTCTAAACAAGCAGCATATTGTTTTAGTGAAAGGTTTTCATTGTAAGCAGTGACTTCCCTGCATTGTTTAGAATATCATTTAGCTGGTAATAAGTACCTATTTTTAGGTATAATTCTGTGCAGTTCTCATTTACAACACTAGGTGGCATGTGTTATGTAATTCAGAATTAAGAGTTATAAATTGCAGTGAAAACCTCCCAGAACCTTTTTGAATTTTGTGCTTAATAGTAGTACTTTCTCTGACTGCTTTAAACAAACAAAGAAAATGTTCCCTGTCATTTTGAAAGCAAAATTATTCATGTTTGGTTGCACTGTTGCCTTTAGTAACAGCCACCTGTGGCATCCACTGAAGGGATTTGTCATCTGCTGCTCCCTCGCTTACGTGCTTTTAGCAAAAACTCCTGTAACTTTCATCTCTCAGAGATAATTCGTTATTTGGCAGTTGTAGCAAGTAGATAACCTGGCTGGTACATTTCCACTGTATGCTATTGTGTGTACCTTTTTTTTTTTCTCTGAAGCTCATTAGTTTCCTAATTTGCAAAGTAGAGATCATCCCTGACTTGCAGACATTTGGAAAGTGTGAATTATGATGATAATGCATTTTAAAGTCCTTTAGATACTACCATTATATCTAGGCAAGATCTGAATGCATTGGTAAACTCTTGCCTACTCTTTGAAATTTGCCTTTTCTGAAGTTGATTTACAGAGGTTCATGTCTGAGTTACTGACCTTCTTAGAGCCCCATCTCCAGCCCTCTCTGCGGTCACACCATCCGTGCGAGTGGTTATCTAGAGTCTTCATCGAACAAGACGACGACATGCTAGAGGCTGCCAAAGCATCAATGGGCATCTACCTGAAATTGACCAGGTTAGCATATTTTAAAGTAATTGTACTAACAACACACCAGGAAAGTAGACAACGTGATGAATACTGTGCTGGACCTATTATTTACTTTCCATCATTAGGAGAAAAAAAAAAATTCTCTAACCACCTTGTGGTCTCCTTATAAATTCCAGTTTCTTTCTTTAACTCTGCTCTACATGAAAATGAGATCACATCGGAGTTCTCCTGAGACAGCCTGGCTGGCTTGGCAGACCTAGGGCAGCTGAACTAGACTGGGATTAGAGAACGTGGGTCTGGCTTAGTCTCCATCTCTCTGTTCTACCTGTGCCTTCAGGAGTGAGTTAATACCCTTGTCTAAATCTTAATCGGATTGATGTTTAAGAACTCTTGTCATCTCTAAGATGGACTTTTCTATATTGAACTCCTCTAAGGGGATTTTTACCTTTGTAAATGTGAGTACACATTTACAAGTCATCAAAGGAGCTGTTCTAAATTTCATCTTAATATCCAGTTGAACTGGGGCTGATCTCATCTGGAGGCAAATATCTGAAATTGATTATGAAGCTATGTTACTGGTGACATTTCATACTGATCCTATTAACACAGCTGTACTTGGGGGCCGGCCGAGTGGCTCAGTTGGTTAAGAGCTCACTCAAAGAGTGCGAGCTCTGAGCACCAGGGTCGCTGATTCGATCCCCTGCCTGAGCTGAGCTGCTGCTGAGCTGCCAACAGGTGGCAGGATGTCTCAGCTAAAAACAAAAAACAAACGAAAAAACAAAAACAGCTATACTTGGGGTAATATCTCCTCGTGGCAAATACGTATCTGTAATTGGTTATGAAGTTAATATCTGATGACCTTGTACACTGTTTCTGCTTCTGCTTTATTAAAACCCTCAAGTATGTGCTTGACTTCCATTTCTTTCTTGGCTTCAGAGGAAGGGGTTTCTTACTAATGACCGCCAGTGCAGTGTTGTGCTGCCAGGTCTTCCTTGTATTATGATACTGCTGGCAGTGGCAGCTTTCAGACTGTAAGTGTTTGGGGCCAGTTTTCAAAAGGTTCCCATCAAGAACACAGAATTCCTGCATGTGATTTGAATTAGGCTCAGCAGTGGTCAAGTACAAGTTCAGTCTGCATGCACATGCCCATTCGAATAATCTTAGTTGTGCTTGAAGCTGATTTCTTACTCCTCAGGAAAGAGGAAGGCTCTGAGTGAAATTTACTTTGTATGTGAATTTCTAACATCCTTAACTTGAGAGAGGCGTGTGCTCGTGCCATATGTAATTTTTTAAAGTAGCTGTATTAGTTAGGATTGTTTGGCTATAAATGATAGAAACCGACACAAACTAGTCTAAGCAAACAAAGGGGTTTATTGGCCCTTAATTGGGAATCCTAAGGGATCAAATTGGCATCAGGCATAACCATATATACAGAGATTCAAATCATGTCATTGGTTATTTCTCTTTTTCTCTGTCTCCCAGCTCTGAACTCATTCTCAGGCAGGGCCACCAGCAGTGCCAGACTTAACAGCAGCTGTACATTTATAATCTTTAATAACTACAGCAGAAATCCTGGGGGAGATCTGATTAGCTCTTCGGGTCACAGATGTTTGTCGGAACCAGTCACCATGGCCAGGAACGTGGGGTGCTCTGATTGGTCAGTCTGGGTCACGTGCGTGTGTGGAAGGGAAGGAAGGCGGTTAGGATCCATCCCCACCCTGCTACACAGGATTAGTAGTTACCTGTAGGAATGAAAAACTCTGATGTCGAGGGACGGAAGACAGAGCACTTTTGTTGAACAGACAAAAACTAGAACTACCAAAGTCAGTAGATTTGGTTTATTTTATTATGTCAGATTTACATAGAGTATGTGGAGAAAGAGATTGGTTTCAAATGTTTCCTTTTAAAATAATGCATAGATTAAAAAAGTAATCCGGTAGGTGAATTTCTTGTATGTGAATTATATCTGCCAAAACTTATTTTTGGAAAAAGTCATTAATCTGGGGTCTCCATTATTTCTATTTTCAGAAAAGGTGAAGGTACTGAAAGCTGGACCCAAGAAAAAGAACTATGGAACCATCACACACATGAAAATGGCTATAATCCACACTGTATTTTCTTATTCTTTTTAAAAAGTGTAGGATTTGATTCGACAGTCCTTCTTGACTTTTTGATTTCATCAGAAACTTGTTTTCTTGAATATTTTGTTAGATACTTAAAATTATTACAAAAAGACTGGGATGAGTTTTTCACCATTTGCAGGTACTTGGATGTAACTGAATCTAAAGATAGCATAAATGTTTGCGGTTGGATCTCCTCATTTGTCCGAGACAGACGCAGCCACCAAACGGGAGTTCATCCTTTGGCTGCTCACGGCAGTCACAGGAAGGCCCATGCTGGGGTCCCCTGGGCTTCTGATGCTTTTTCCAAACCACCAAACCAGGTCGTGATGTCCGAGGAGACCCAAGTCACACTCCCAGCTAATCAACTGTCTCCCCCGCAAGCTTCTCAAAGTCTGGTGGACTATGACAGCTCTGATGATTCTGAAGTAGACTCCACAGACCTGTGTGTAGCAAATGGTGAACCGACATCTTTATTCAAAGAAGCCATGAAGATGCAGGACACAGTTGGAACAAGGGGGGATAAAACAGAACGTAGCCTGGAGCTTCAGTCAAGGCCTCTGGTTCCGAAAGAATCGAACACTCCCCTCTCTGTTGATTGCGATGTAGCCCCAGATAGCATTGTCTCTGAAGTGGAAATTTCTTACAGAACAGTAAAATGCTTTGACGAGCTACAAGGTGCTGTGTACCGTTTGCAGAAGAAAAATCTTTTCCCATATAATCCCACAGCACTTTTGAAGTTGTTAAAACAGATTGAGGCAATATATAATAAAAGTATGAACCCTTTGTAAAACGGTGGCATTTAATTTCCAGGAATTGTTTTTTATGTCCAATATAAATTGTGTCTTATGAGATAATAGTAAAAAAAAACAAAAAAAAAACAACCCTCCAAATTAAATCTTTCTTTTTGTCTATTGGAAGCAGCTTAGTGGAAAAGATGTATCAAATGACTAGTCACTGGATACATTTTCACACCACTTGAAATTTATTGTAGTTCAGATGTATACAAATTGGGGATGGTTATTGTGTTAGTTTCCTTGGCTACTGTAACAAATTACCACAAACTTGGCAGATTGAAACAACAGAAAGTTATTCTCCCACAATTCTGGAGGCCGGAAGTTCAAAATCAAGGTGTCAACATGGCCATGCTTTATCTCAAAAGACTCCGGGGAAGAACCCTCCCCGCCACTTCCTAGCTTCTGGCAACTGCTAGCGATCCGTGATGCTCCATGACTTGTAGCTGCATCACTCC